AGACCAGATTTATAGTGATCCTCCACTTTTCAGCCTCCCAAGTGCTGGGATTACAAACGGCGCCACCACACCCACTCTCAATCGTTGTCTCAGTGCACCCCAGGGGTAGGGATCAAACTCCAGAGGCTGTGTTCTACCTAAGCAGGCACTTTAGTCCGCTGAGTTTTCAAGCTTCCCAGCACTGGGATAGCAGGCACGCGCCACCATGCCCGGTCTCTGATGGCCAGCTCAGTGTGCCTGTGGCGGGGCCAGCACAGCATGTGGTGCCAGGGATTGAATAAGGGTCCTTGTACTTTCCTAGGCAAGCGTGTAGACCAATGAGTTATCTCCACAGTCCATTCTCAAAATTTTTTTTTTTTTTCGGAACCAGGGATTGAACTCAGGCCCTTGCACTTGCCAGGTAAGCACTTATTCTATTGAGCTATCTCCCCAGCCCCCCATTCTCAAATTTTAATAACAGCTGCTTCAAGAATCTTTCCGCAGGAAGGTAGGTCAAGTTCCCAGATAGCAGAATTCCAAGATAATTATGGAGAGGGCTTCAAAATACCGCAGGAAACTGAAAGGGAGGTTGTCTCACAAGACAGGAAGACACTTGAAAGAAAGCAACAAACATGGGGGCCATTAGCGCTGAAGGGCCCTGGTTCCAGTGAAGACTAGCTACGGAGGCCAGCACTGGCCAAGTCCCTCCACAAGTCAAGCCAAGATGACCTCAAACAGTAGTGAATGGCAGCAGCGCAGACGAGCAGGCGCTCCCTCTCCTGCAGCAAGGCAAGTGCCCAAAGCCATCCTCAGAGCGGCTCCCAGCACAAGGCATTAGCGTCTTGTGGAAGGAAGCTGAGTTTAATTTATTATTTATTTATTTATTGTTGCTCTTCGTGGTATGGTGGTACCAGGGATCAATCTCAGGACCTTGTGCTTGCCAGGCAGGTGCTCAAGCCATTGAGCTATCTCCCCAGTCCCATAATTTTATTCTATTTTATTCTTTGTGTGTATATGTGTAATTGGTACAGGGTCTCACCACGCAACTCAGACTCTAGTGAGCCTCCTCTTTTCAGCCTCCTATCACTGGGATTAAAGGCATGCCCTACCATACCCAGCCTCCATGCCTGCCTCAGTGAGCCAGGGGGCGGGGCCAGCAGGGCACGTAGTGCCAGGATCCAACCCTGGTCCCTGCACTTGCTTAAGCAGGTGCTGAGTCCATTGAGCTAGCTCGCTGGCCCTCCACTTTTTTTTTTTTTTTTTTTTTTTTAATATAGAACACTTCATGAATTTGCGTGTCATCTTGCTCAGGGGCCATGCTACTCTTCCCTGCATCTTTCCAGATTCATTATATGCGCTGCAGGAAGCCAGCACAAGCTCCAAGTTTAAAGTCCATTTCCTGATGGTTAGGGGCCGGGGAGATGACTCAGTGGAATAAGCGCTTCCCTGGCAAGCTCAAGGGCCTGAATTCAATCCCCAGTTCTGGAAAAAAAATCCTGATGGTTAGCAGAAGTAGGTGTGCTACAGAAAGTAGATCGCGGAGCTCTAGCTAGAAAGCAGTCAACCAGGCCTGCTGTGGAGCTCAGCACTGCCCCCTGCAGGACAGGCAGCCATGGGGATTCTCAGGCGAGCTCCGGGGTCTGGGCCCCCCCAGGGCTAAGGGCCTCTGCTGTCACACACCCTGGGGGCTCTTCTGCGCTTTAAGGGAAGGACCAGACACAGGCACCTTGGTGTGGGAATGAGGCTTTTATTTCTCTGCTGGATCAGAGAGGGCAAGCCCGTGAGGATAGGAATCCAAAGATGACCCGCAAGAAGGCAAAGGTGTGCAGCTCGGAGGGCATCTTCGAGGCAGGCAGAGCCCTGGCCTCTCGCCCTCTTTCCCATCACACCTCCCCAAGGGGTGCCAGTCCCATTACCATATTCGGGTTCTAACTTGCTGCGACATTTTTTCCCTTCTACCTATACAGATTATCCTAGTGACAATTCTGTGCATGTGATTGTCCCTTCCCACCTGGAATTTAGCTCTTCTTGTTTGAGGACAGTGGGGGTTTAGAGCAGGGAACATCATTCCAATTTCCTTTAGTGGATTTGATTTGATTTGGGTTTTGAAAGGATGAAGGCTTATTGAGCTCGTAGTCTGTAAATGGTTCCGTCCATAACCAGCTGGCTCCAAGACAGAGGGACGACCATTCCAGGTGGCAGAAAACAGCAAAAGCGGCAAGGGCTAGTGCTTTGATTATAATGACCTTGCTTTGGGGTTGTATGTGTAGCAGCTGTTTCAGCGCTGGCTTTTTCTTTCTTTTTTTTTTTTTTTTTTAACTTGGAATCTACTTAGGACCTCCCACGTGCCAGCCAGGCCCCGAGCTGTAAACTGAGCTGGACAGGAGGCTCCTGTGAGCACTCAGAGGACCCGTGTCGCCACTTCAGGCTGCCACTTAAAGCGCAGGCTGCAGCCCGCCATCCTCTCTGCGTAGTGGGCATCAAAGCGCTCATTCTGGGCCACAGTGAAGGTGTTTTTCCAGTCCCCCACAGTGCCTGGGACAGAAAGCAAGAGGTTGAGTCCAGGCCACAGAGGAGGCCGTGGTGACCCGAGGTGGGCTCTTTCTCGCTCCTCTCCCCAGAACCCCCATGGCCCAGCACCCACCTTTCCTCATGAAGGGGGAAACGGTGTGGTCCATGACCTCAGTGGGTATGCTGGTGTAGTTGGTCATGGGGTTCTTCTTCATCTCCTTGAAGGACGTGTGCTGGATGATGAGATCCATGGTCTCCTCGGGCAGGGAGCGCCCCACGAACTCCAGGATCTTCTGCAGCTCCCTTTTGGGGTTCTGGGAAAGCAGACACACTCTTTAAGTTGTTCATCAAGGAAACATGTGGTCCCCTCTGTGACCTCTTAGGGGAGTGGTCACCTCCACAGAGCAGCCTTTCAGCCCCGCCTCTGACGGGGCCTCTTCCCCGTGGCAGGGCGAGTCAGTCCCTCCAGGGGTCCTGGAGTGAGCCCTGCGTGGCTGCTCCAGGAGGGGGGCAGGGAGATGCGTCTCTGTCACTGTGCACTTAGCTGGGCACACTCCTCCGGGCCAGGAGAAACAAGAGGCACACAGTGCTGGGCAGTGCGTGTGCTGCTGCTGGTGGAGGCACTGTGGCCGAGGACTGGCCAGAGCCTGGAGGGCAGGGGGAGGTCCTGAGCGGACCGCTCAGAGGATTTGTGCAGGCCATGGAGGTTCCAGCAGCCTCCAGGTTCTGCGGGGGGGGTAGGGGGGAGGGGACAGCAGCAGTCTCACCTCCTTCATGTCCTCGTAGAAGAGGTAGAGGACAGGATGGGTGTGGCTCAGCTCCCACCACTCCTGCACGTGCTGGTACCAGGACCCGTAGGACACTGAGGAAGGGGATGAAAGACAGCACGGTCTCAGCTGTACCTAACTGCCTGCTGCCTAGTGAGCCCCTCCTTGCTGCAGAGTCAGACTGACCTTTCCCAGCCATAAAGTCCTCCAGAAAGTTGTCCCAGGTGCCCGGATCAGGGTGCATCTTGGCCATTTGGTAGAAGTTGTAATAGGAGACCACCACATCCTTCGCATTGCGGGCAAGGTAGACCACCTGTGGGGGCGGACAATCAAATCCCATGGTCCCTCACCACACAGCACACCCCAGAGCAGACTTCCGCTGTGTCCCACCTTCCGGTCATGCTCACAATACCCCACGCAAGGTGCTGGCTCTCAGCCTGGCAAAGGAGATAAGTGAGTTTGGAACCTCACTTGCTGAAGATGTCACAGGATGGGTACCACTGAACAGGAATGCTGACTTCTTTGATACAGAAGTCCCTGGAGCCAGGCTGATTATCAGTCTGACAGCCTTCAGTGTTACAACCAAGACTTGGAACAAGAACTCTGTGAGGTCACCAGCCCCCATCTTGCCAGGCCTGTGGGGACCTGCACTCTACTTTTCTGTGGTCCTGAGACGAGGCGAGGCCCAGGGAGTCCACACCTGAACCTGACCAAAGCTGGGCTTACCCTGCGTGCCTGTCCTGTTGCTCACCTTCACCTTCTGATCCCACAGAGACTGGGGGAGCAGGGCCACAGGCAGGTGCGTCTTGAGCAGCCTTGGCGAGGGGGTGTCTTTCAAAGTCTCCAGCCCTAAGGCACGGCAAGGGAGAGCTGCTGAGCTGGAGCAGGCCCTGCTCCCTCCACCTCTCCTGCCCCCAGTCACCAGGACACACCTGAGAGAACCCCTGGATGTCTGATCTCCAGGAAAGGCACCCGTATGTAGATGGGGGCTCGGCGACACTTCTCTAGGTCACCACCCTGGTAGATCATGTCCAGCATCTCACTCACCCACGTGGTGCCTGGGAAGAGAGGGAACATACAGGTGCACAGGGCTGGGGGCCAGGCCCTGCTCACCACACAGGGGCTGCGACCCAGGGGCAGGCTGGCCTCCTCGCTTACCCGACTTGGGGTAGGTGCTGATGAGCAGGTCATCGGGCAGGGCCTGGAAGCTCTGCAGAGGCTCTATGGCCTCTTTGAAGTACTTGATGAGCGGGACCCCCTTCACATAAGCCAGTGGGGGGCGGGAGGTGTCCTTGACCGGCTCCATGCTGCTGACTCAAAGGCCAGAGACAAGGCTTCCCTTAGTGCTCCTGCCCCACCACCAGGAAGAGTTCCCATTAATCTAGCCCTAACCAGTTAAAGCACTCTGTCATAAAGGCTAAGGTCCAGGTCTTTAAAGCCCTTCAGAGATTGTAGGGAGTACTGCAGATACTTTGGTCCCTGCCCTTTCTTATACCTGCCAGCCAGCCTTGTTTGAGTTACTTCTTGCTCTGGCGCCCAGCCTGTACCTACCAGGCTCTGCTGCATATGGGTCCTTTCAAGAGCTCTCTGGGCCTTCCCACAGGGAAACTCTCTGGCCAGCAAGTGTGGAAATCGACTTACCTAGCCACAAGACATGGGCTCTAGGGCAAACATGAGTAGTTGAGTGACTGCTTGTTTCAGGGTCAGAATCTTATACATGGAGAATAAAAACCCTGAAAACTCAGGTAAAGAGGGGAGGGGGACTGAGTCCAGGCTGGAGTTGTCCTGTCCAGATGGGCCACCCATGGGGAAGGAGCAGGGAGGGGAGAGGCCACAGCCAGGAATCACACAGGATCCCAGGGAGCCCTCGGGGCAAGCTGCCTTCCCCTCCAAAGATGTGGGGCCCTGGAGCGGTAAGGCCAGTGGTCGCGACACCCAGCCCACGCAGCACTCTCCTGGCCTCTCAGGATCCTGGCGAGGGCGTCCCTGCGTGCACAGTGCCTTTGCGTGTGCAGCGCGCAGGGCAGCTCTCAGCGCTGGATATTTACTAGGTCCAAATGGGGAGGGAGCTGGAACTAGGGCTGGGCCTGGCAGTCGGCACCCTGGCTGGAACCAAAAGCAGAGGGGTCTGAACACAGAAAATGTGAGGTCAGTGTGCAGAAAACAAAAGATCTGACCCTACGGGGAAGTGGCCGGGGTTGAATTGTTTTGATTTCTTTTCAAGCTGCAGCCTGGCAACTGACCAGATCCCGCCCGCACTGCTGGAATCCAGCTTAACACAGCACAAGCAGGAAATAACTATTTTTTAAATGTACGTAGTACAGGGTCTTCAGGGTCCATTATACAGATCAGACTCAGTGATCCTTTCTGTTTTTCAGCCTCCCAAGTGCTGGGATTATAGGCACACACCCTCTCTCATTCGACATCTCAGCATGCCGGCGGGACGGGGCTGGAACAGCAGGCTGGGGATTGAACCCCTGACCCCAGATTAAAGGTGCTTTAATCTGCTAAACTATCTGGCCCGGCCCACAATAATATTAATCAATTGGCATAAAAATAAATTGAGAGGGCTGGGGAGATAGCTCAGTAGAATAAGCACTAGCCTGGCAAGCGCAGGGGTCCTGAGTTCAATCCCGGGTACCGCAAGGATAAATAAATAAATAAATAAATAAATAAATAGACAGTCTTTGCTAGGCATTTATGGTTTGTGGGGGACCCATATTGGCTTAGGGAGAGATTAATCTTTAAGTCAACAGCCAGACCTGAGGCCAGCAAAGAGCTGTGAGGTTCTAGCACCTCAAAGCAAGGTAACACGGCAGCTGAGGGCTTGGATGCCTGCAACTTCTGTCTAGCTCTATAATCCAGTTAGCAGACAATCAGGTTACCACTGACCATGACCTATTCCTGTGTGACTTCCCAAAAATTCATCGTTCTTCAGCTCTTGAACTTTGTCAGCACTTCACCCCCACTGCTTCCCGCAGCCCACCAGCACCCCACGAATCGATCTGTACACCTAATAAAAGCCAAAGACACTGTGTCTCATGGTCTTAGCCCGTTGTTGGGCTTTGACCATCACTATGCTCCTTGTGACCAGAATACATCCTCTGTCTGTTGTAGTCTATCGTCATTCCTCTGCGTAGGAAATCAGTGGTCCTAGACCTGGACCCCATAACACCACCATTACCAAACCCCCATGACTGCATGGCTGGTCAGCAGAATGCTTTTGTAATTGACCCACTTGAAGTGAGGGAAAGCTAGAGGTCGGAGCCACTCACCTTCCTGGTGGTTCCAGGGCAGGCTCCAAGACAGCCAGAGTTCAGGATGGAGCACCCCACAAGGGCTTGCAGGAACTTCCGGCTCTGCCCACAAGGGCAGTCCAGGTGATATGACTGGGTGATGTTAAGTAATCAGGGCCAGAGTGGAGCAAGCAGAACTCTTTTTATGGTAGCATAAAATAAGGAAGAATTAGGGCACTAAAGTCCAATAGCCACAGGAGGTAGCCGTTGGCTCATGGCAGCCAAGAACCCTCAGGAACATCACTCCTAATTTGCACGCGTGCTGGCCAGAGAAGTTTCCCTGGGAAAAGGCCTGGAGAGCTCTTAAAAGGACCTGTATGGAGAAAAGCCTGGTAGTTGTAACTTTGGGTGCCACAGCAAGAAGTAATTCAAGGGTCAGTTAGATGGCTCAGTAGAATAAGCACTTTCCTGGCAAGTGCAAGGGCCTGAGTTCAATCCCCAGTTCTGCCAAAAAAAAAAAAAAAAAAAAAAAGTAACTCAAACAAGGCTGGCTGGCAGGTGAGGCAGGGCAGGGACCAAAGGAATACTTCTGTTTCTCTTTCTTTCTTTCTCTCTTCTGTTTCTTTAGGATTGCAGGGGACATTAAATAGAGGGGTGGAATTTGGGATGGAGGCAGCTGCAGGACCCATGGGACTGCTTCTCTCCTCCTTAGTCTCTGTCTTTGTAGTCTGGATTAAAATCTAAAGTGAACTGGGCACAGGAGGTGGGTGAACCTGGGTGCTATTCTTTGGAGTCATCTGACCTGAGGTATGACGGGGAATCAAGGCAAGGGTTTTCCAGGCAGGAGAGAGGCTGGTGCCGCATCCCCTATGGCCGCCTCTGTTGTACCCACCAAACACTCTCGCAGCACAAAGTATTCTTTTTCAGATTTTTATTTACTTAAGTAAAAGCTACACAGATTCAAGGAGAAAGGAGAATAAAAGAAATGGTGAGTGAGGATCAGGTCTCCAGCAGGTCTGTCCAGTGTCCCTGTGGAGACAAGGGAGTTGGTCAGAGGCAGTGGAGGGATGGATCGGGTAGCCGAGCTGAGGCCAGGGCCATCTCACCTCTTCTAAATCTGAGTCTTCACCGTCTTTCTCAGCTCCCATGCGACACAGTGAGATCAGGTCTCCCCACAGCAGCGAATTCTTACACCTACCAAGGGTACAGGTGGGCTAGATGATGGCGTCAGGCATCGTGACCCCTTCCAGCCTGGGCTCTGGGAGCCAAGATGGGACTCAGCTGGCCCGGCCCGGCCCCCCGGGGCACCTTCATCCTGGACTAGAGCAGGCTGGCGGGAAGGGACCAGACTAACCTGGGACACTGGCCCTCCAGGGGCACAAGCTGCCCTGGCTCTGCCTGGAGGAACTCCTCTGCCAGGCAGATCACATGAGCCAGCAGGGGACAGCCGGGATGGGGACAGCGCAGAGGGCCCTCTTCATCCTGTCAGAGGGGGCAGGCAGGGACGGGGTGTGGAGGGTCACCTGCTTACATTTGCAGGAGTACAACCTCTCCTTCCTATGCTGAGGGTGAAGGGTGACAAAACTTGCTTCATTTTATGCTGCTACATAAGAGTTCCAGGGAGACAGGGACAGGACAGGGCACAATGAAGACAATTTGAGATGGAGAACCAGGAAAGCCCTCGGAGGGAAGCTGCTGTCATCTCCCAGGATCTAGTGACAAGCCTTCCATTCCGCGGGGAAAGGGCAGATGCTCCTGGTGGGTACTGATGTGTCCAGGAACGGCCCCAAGGAGGCCACAAGACAGAGCTGGGCCAGGCCTGCCCCTCACTGGCCCCATCCACAGGCCTCTGAACCCCAGGTCCCAGCTCCCTGGGGAGATCTCACCTGCAGCGCCCCGCCACACAGAGTGCACTGGTCCTCTGCGCCCTGGCCTGTCGCCTGCTTGCTGTCCTTTGGGGCATGGGGTGCGGGCAGTGGCCCGAAGGCCAGCGGCATGTGCGGAGGTGGCGGTGGAGAGAGGTCACGGCAGAAGTCCGGGCGCAGCCAGCGCACGGTGAGCGGCAGCCTCAACCAGGGCGCGGCACGCAGCATGGCCGCGAGCACGCGCAGGTGGAAGGCGAAGGAGGCCTCACCGCGCACGCGCCGCCCCAAGTGCGCCAGGCGACGCGAGGCGCTCGGGTGCTGCCAGGCCCACTCGAACTGCGGGTGGGAACAGGCGAGCGTCGGGTACCGCCTCGCACCGGGCCCCAGCCACCCCCAGCCCTTAACTCCCCACCCAGTTGCCTGTCTTACCCGCAGCGCAGCCACGGCGGACGGGAACCCGTGCACCAGGAGCACCATCTCCCTGCGACGGCACCAGGGCACGTGAGCCTCCCCTCACTTCCAGGCAGGTCCATGTCCTTGCACCTCTCAGCTCAGGCCCCGCCTGGGGTCACAGGGCCGTCGCAGACCTCAGGGCCTTCCCTTCCGTGTTCTAGCCCAGCCCAAGCCTGACTCTAAGCCCCCTGCACCCTGGATCTCTCCAGCGGACGCCCACCCAACACCTGCGCAGCGCCCATCCCCTCCATGCCCCGCCCACACGACCGACCCCGCCCGCCTTAGCCCCGCCCACTGTCACTGGCCCGGGACCGCCCCTAGAGTCTGGTTCCGCCTTCTCTCTGTAGCGCCCCGCCTTCGCGACAGGCCCCGCCCACTCGCCAGCCCCGCCCACTGTGGCTGACTCGGCCCGTCAATAACCCACACCAGAGGACCCGCCTCCTCACTATCGCGCCCCGCCCTCGTAGCGCGTTCAGTTCCGTCACTCGCACCGCCCTCTGCAACAAGCCTAACCCTGCGCGACAGTCAGGTCTAGCCCCGTCGGATCCGCTTCCTCCCTGCAGACTCCCCGGCCACGGACTGCCTCCCCCACTTACCAGGGTCCTCTCCCGCTCGTCCGCCAGGCTCCGCCCTTTTGGCGACCTCCGTTGTGCTGCTGCACCCGACGCGCAGGGTTGACGGTGAAACCCACGTACACGCGGCCCCGATGCCGAGGGTTCAGGCAGTAGAGCAGGTAGACGCCGAAGAAGCGGCCCGGCCTCGCCGAGCCCTCCGCGGGGCCCATTTGGACTTTATAGGTTACGGGCCCAGAGCTGGAGGGACCAGAGCTGGAGGTTGATATCCGTAACCTCAGAGCCAGGGATGACTGAGTTGCTAGGACAGCAAGATGCTTGTTTCGGGAAAACTGCTCTGGGGCGATTGCGAGGCAGTCATCCTCACATGGAGCGAGGCAGGTGCCCAAAGCCTTCCCCACAGGCCGGGGAGCCCCAACCAATTAGCATCCGCCCTCTCAGAGTCCGTCCTCCCGCTGATTCTGATTGGCTACTACTGCTAAATTCAAAAGCCCTAGCTTTTGAGAGAACACTACTGGAATGAGGGCGGAAGTGCGGCACCGTGGACGTCCTAGTATGGGCGGAAGTGAGTGTCCTAGGGGACGGGGTTCCTAGCCGGAAGTCTGTTGTGGGATTTGTCCTTAGTGGACTTCTGTTGCGCTGGGCTGATGTGATGAAACTCAGTTTATTCTAAAACGAATCTCAAAAATAGCCTGGGCATTGGGCAGGGGACATTGGGCAGGGGAGACAGCTCAGCGGCATAAGCACCTGCCTGGCAAGTGTAAAGTCCTGAGTTCAATCTGCAATACCATTAACTACACAGCTCAGGCTCCTAGTGGGATTGCATGCAGCACCACTGAGCTACTTGGCCAGCCCCAGTCGCTATGCGGTTTAAGCTGGCCTTGAGCTCATTTTATAGCCCAGGATGGTCTCGAACTCTCAATGATCTTCGTGCCTCAGCCTCCTGAGTGCTGGATTACAGGCGTGCACCACTACACCCAGCTGTTGTCCTTGTCTTGAAGAATTAGTAAATTTGGGGCTAAGGAAGGTTATACAACAGGGACTCCTTCAGTGCTTGACTCTAAGCCCCCTGCGACCTGAGAAGGGATCCCACCCAAACCTTGCAGGGAATGAGGAAGACAGATACCAACGAAGGCAGAGATGCCAAGTTTCCTCCTGCCGTTAGTTACCCAGCGGGCGTAAGCGGCCCACTGTCTAGAGCCCTGTTACAAATGAATACAAGTACACAGCATTGTTGCAGTGAGGCGCAGGAGGGTAGAGTGTGATCAGCTCGCTGGCAAGTGGGTGTAACCTGTCAATCACAGAGATCCAGGAGGGGGTGGGACATCTGGAGCCAATCAGGAGGTGATATCTTTTCCCTAGAGTAAGAACCTGAAAGAGTAAATAAAATCTGAAGGGCACAATAGATACTGTGAAAGGGAGAGAAACTGTTCAAAGGGAAAGGAGAAAAGAAAGAGAAAAAGAAGTATGGATGTATATACACAGGATAGCTTGGATAATTGTACTGCTGATTTCTGCTAGTCTGTTGAAAGCACTTAATGTTTATTTTGTCTCTCTTCTTTTTAATTTTTTTATAATTATTTTTAAATGAAGACTGTACTCACACATCTTTTCTTTTTCTTTTTGAGATACTATCTCACTATGTAGTGTAGGCTGTCCTTGAACCCATGGTGATCCTCCTGCCTCAGCCTCCTGAAGGATGGAATAGGATGATAGGTGTGCACCACCATGCCCAGCAGTACATGCATCTTATAAATTCCTTCTGTCACACAAGAGACACACATATACAGCATCGTATGTCCATATAACATCATTGACACAGGGGCTGGGGAGATGGCTCAGTGGAATAAGCGCTTCCCTGGCAAGCGCAAGGGCCTGAGTTCAATCCCCAGTTCTGCCAAAAAACAAATAAATAAATAAATAAATAAATAAAATAAATCATCAACACAACAGCAGCGCTTACGCAGTAGATACACTACACAGGAAAGTGCTACGCGTCATGTGCACTGTCCCAGTCAGTGACAAATGTCAAAATGCAAGTTCAGCAGTTTTAGAACCGCTGTCAGTACAGCTAAATTTTGCATGCATCATCTATTTGTATCAGTCATTCACAGGGAAGGAACAAAGGACAAAGACCACTCTAAAAGTTTTATGTGCCAACCTCAACATGCCGTGGTGTCAGCGGCATTACTACTGTTTCTACATTGATGATTAATGACTAGCAGAACAACTCCCAGAAGGTAAGAGATAGCTCCAGCGGTGATATAAGCAATCTCCAGCAATGGCCCATCTATGAAATAGGGCCCAAGAGCAGCCGTTTTGTATAGAAATATAGATTTGAGACAAAAGCCTAATGTCCCAAGAGAGCAGGGAATAGACGGAGCCCAGGGAGAGCTGCTGCCTGTTGTTTGTAAATTCCCGGCAAACTGGAATTCAAGGCTGCAGATAGCAGCTTGCCCTGCAGGCGCCCTGTCCTTTGATCCCTCGCTTGGGATGTTATCGGCTAGCGTTTTGTTTGATCCTGGAGTTAGGCAAATGGTGGAAGTTAATAGAGACAGTAGTTTGTATTTACTTAGGTAATTATGCACATTCCTTAGCTTGCCTTTAGCGCTCAATAAATATGAGATGCTTCTGAGGCTCTGGGCTCACTTGGAGAGAGACTAATCTCAGTGAGACCTCGGAAGCTACAGTCATCAGGCCTTCTCGTTGTCGTTTGTTTCGGCACAGACCCATAACATGCAACAGTTTTGTCTGTCAAAGGAATGTACAGGGTCATTGCATGTTATGTTCCAGTAGTACCGTCCAGGGCAGATTACTTGTCCATTCTATGTGATGATACATCTTCCGGAAAGTAAAGCACTTCCAGATGGAGTAAAGCACTAAAATCTCCATTTAGCTGACTGTGATCTTGTGAAGTCTCGTAAGGATGACAATTTTGACAGAAATGAGGCAGGCCACAATACATGTGGACATTCCCATCTAATGCCTTTTCCAGCGTGAAGTTATGTAAATTGTCACATTCGGGGATAAACATTGCAGGAGCTGTTCTGGTGTAATGGATCTCCATCTTGCGGATGTTGGAGGTGATGGAGATGCCGGTGCCAACCGGGATCAAGATGAGGCCGACCAGGAAGAAGGTCGGTGAGAGGTTTTGACGGTGTCGCAGCAGAGAAACAGGCAGAAGGACAAGGGAAAGGGGCTTGATGATAAAGCGAAAGGGATTTACTATCTTGGAGGACACTGGAGAGAATTTGGGAAGATAAGGAATTCTCTGGACTGGAACAAAGGGAGGCTGAGGCTTTATGGCTTTTTGCCAGGGGCAGGGCTTGAGGGGATGTTTAGATGTGAGCCCAGGAGCCCACTGGGGCCTTCCCTGCGGTGGTGGGAAAGGTGAAAGGAAACTGCACCCTGGGCTGAGCTGGAGAAGAAGGGGGAGGTGGTCTCTGGGAAGATAAACTGTTGTTTTAAGGGCTTTAACCATATTGGATAGCCACCATAATAATTCAGCAATTCATACTAGGGCCAGCCAGCACCTATCATTCAGCAGCATAGTGCCCGCCGTGAGAATAGGTTGCCAGGTAGGCAGCCGCCGCTGCTTGAAAGCTGTGTACTCCACTTCCATGGCTTTGTACCCTTCACCTCCCCAGCCACGCGTGCACATGGGGTCTGCCATCCGCCTTGTCCTTGGTGTTGCAGTTCACAGCCATCGGACTCCAGGGCGTGGCTCTACCAGCTCACATGTCCTGCCCAGGGGAACACCCCCCTCCACCACCCTGATGGGACTTGGGCATCATCAAATCTTCTGCTGAGGGAGCAGGAGATATATATATTATCCAAATTTGTATGCTTATATCTTATAATTGGAGCAACTAATTTGAAGACAACAATATACAATACAACAACCATTGTTGAATTTCTGTTAATTTTTAGTGAAATTCTATATTGTTTCTTTTTTCTTTTCTTACTATTTTTTAAATTCTCTTTTTATTTATTTATTTATTTTAATTCTCTTTTTAAAAATGAACAGGCTTTGCTGCCTTCCGCTGCCATGAACTGCTGCCCTCTGCCATGTGCCACCCTGCCTTGGGAGCCAGTGACTGGACTGAAACCTCCACAAACTGTGAGCTAAATAAACCTTTCCTTCCTTCATTCTGGATGTCAGGTATTTTGTCCCAGCAATGAGGGACATGCACATGCAACGGAGACACTCAGCTTCCCAGACATAGGCATGCAAAACTGGCCAAACAATGTAAGCATTAGCTGTTCCTTTCACTGAACTAATTGAAATTAGCAGTGTAATTATCTTCGCTGTCTTGTGTGTATGTATATGTACTTTCCCTCTTTTTTTTTTTTCCCCTCCTTTCCCCCATCCCAGTTGTCCTTTCCTTTTGAGCAGTGTCTCAGTTACTCTTCTCTTCTGTGCCAGTTTCTGGGACAAATACCCAAAATGAAGGAAGGAAAGGTTTGTTTAGCTCACAGTTACTGGAGGTTTTAGTCCTTCCTCAGCTGGCTCCAAGGCAGAGCGGCACAGGGCAGAGGGCAGCCTTTCGTGGCAGCGGCGAAGAGGAAGAGCAAACAGGAGGGGCGGCAGCGGCAATGGCCACAGAGAGCGAGTCTGTCTCCCTGTCTCTCTCATTTTATTTATTTATTTATTTATTTATTTTTGTGTGTGTGGCCAGCTCAGCCCACCAGGGGGCGGGGCTGGCTGGCATGTGGTGCTGGGGGATTGAACCGCGGTCCCTGTGCTTCGCTTAGCTTAGTTCTAAGTAGATGCTTTAGACCACTGAGCCATCTCACCAGCCCTCCCTGTCTCTCTCATGTTACATTCAGGCTCTCTACCCCAGGCTGGGTGCCACACTCATACCAGTAATCCCAGCAGCCCTCACACTCATAATCCCAGCAGCCCTCACACTCATAATCCCAGCAGCCCTCACACTCATAATCCCAGCAGCCCTCACACTCATAATCCCAGTGGATCATGAGTTAATCGCAAACTCTTAAACTCTACCCCATGACTGCATGAGGCTTTGGGGGGACAACTAGACACAAACCATAACAAGCAGGTTCTTTCCCTTTCACAATACCTATTGTACCTTTGGAGTTTATTTACTCTTTTAGTTTCTTACACTAGGGAATAAACATGATGTTTACACATGTGAGTCTGATTGGTTTCACTTATGAGGATTGTCTCTAGTTGAATCCATTGACCTATAAAAACCTTGAATTTATCCCTTTTTATAGCTGACTAATACTCCATTTTATAAAAACACCACATTTTTAAAAATCCATTCCTTGATTGATGGGCATTTGGGTTGTTTCCATATTTAGCTATTGTGAATTGTGCTGCTATAAACACGGGTGCACATGGGTGCTGTGGCATTATGTTTTCAATTCTTCTGAAAAAAATGCTCAGAAAAGAATAGCTGGGTCAACTGCGAGCTCTAATGCTAGTGTTTTAAGGAATCTGTTCACTGATTTCTACAGTGGTGGGGAATTTTAATATGCAGTGATCAAAGGTCATGACAGGGAATTTACAAGAACGCTGTATCAAGAGATACCCCAATCTGTAAATAAAAAGGATTTGAAAAATTAATAAGAAAGGGATATCTCCAGTCCTTCTGAAGAACTCAAGTGGATTTTTTTTTTTTTTCTGGAACCAGGGTTTGAACTCAGGCTCTTGTGCTTGCCAGGGAATCAAGCGGCTTTTTGATAG